CTTAGCTTCCTTGCTGTGAATGGACAGCCAGATGCAGGGCCAAAAGCATCCACTTAGAAGCATAGTAAGGCCCTCCTGGAAGATACTTTGGACAATATAGGCAGTTTCAACCTTTAACAATAACTGTATTTTTGTAAGGTCTGGTGAAAATAAGAGGGCTAGATGTGGAAGGAGGAATCTGCTATCCAAATATCCCACCACTGTTATAGAAGAACCTACAGTTTAACAAGGTTTATGGAAATTAGCCTCTCTCATTCTCCTCCTGTCTCCTCTACCTACTTCCACACCCTGCAGCTATGGTGCCTTTCCTCAGTTTCTTTCTGCTTACTCAAATATCTGCCCTTCAGAGAAAATAATATCGCCATACTTTAAATTTCAAGAATTACTCTGTGGTGGAGGGTGGTTATTGAATTTGTAAGTACATACATTAAATCCTGTTACTTTCAGTTTTGCTACTTTTAACAATGACTAGACCCAATGAGATTCTCTATAAAGCCTGGACTATTTTAAAACTAAGAAATTTGGATTTGAACAAAAATATTATTTACTGAGTTTTGGATTTCATAATGTCAAAGCATGCTTATGTTTCCAAATTCCTTTTTTTCATTTTGGCCCACCAGGATTTTATCTTTGAAAGAGATATTTAGAGCCACAGTTTTGGTTTATTAGTTCTAGTTATAAGAGAATTATCACGTCTTAAAGATATGATAGAGAACTCATGCACAATTCCTCTAGATCTTTTGCAGTAATCAAAAAGCTCTCCAGTGTCACCTTTGGTGGACCAGTAGTCTTAGAGACATTGGCTTTGGCAGTACAAAAATATCAGAGATGCCCAGACCAGGCACAGATAATGTTGATCTGTTTAAATTTCTACCCCTCATATATTTTACTCATTCAGCAGCATTCTTGCCTGTTACTTAGTATACCAAACACATTTCATTAGACTGATCATGTTCTTCTTAGATCAGATTTGATTATGTATATCTATATGGTAAAATTGTCAACCAATAATTAAATCAAATATATTTTATTCTGCAAATTGCCTTGGGAGATTGTGGACATATCAAAACATTAAAGAGTGAGTATGTTCCTTTTTATATCCTGTAACTTAGAATACTTTAACAATTTATTTGGAAAAATGTTATAAATAAGAAAAATAATCCCCAGTTCTTCAGTTTTTCTAAAGATGGTGGTTTATACAGAATACATCTAACCATGACTGATTTTATCAAAGGAATGAAATGAAACAGTACTGGAATTTAGAGCAACTAGGGGAGTTTCACTTATTTTCATTGAGTCAACCAATTATAATTGTGTATATGCTAATTTATAATTTCAGAATGCTTTTCATTAAGCTTAATACAACTTAGATAAACTTAGAAATAATATGGGTAGCATCTGTTCTAAGAGTAAACAAAAACATTGCAAGTTCATAAAACTATAAAGAAATTGAGCAAATGTAAGAATCTTCATGTCACATCAAAAGCTAAGTGGAACGATCATCTATTACAGCACTCAACATATACTTATGGAGGGATGCAAATGCTAGCGACACGATGCTTGGCAGTGTTGGATTAGCATCTCTGGAGTCCATCACTGTCAGTGCTGACTGCTGGAAGGTACTTGGTGGTGGAAAATAAAAGCAGCAATAGAAATTGGCGAACCATCTGGGAGGGTGGTTGCACAGTAGAGATAAAAATAGATGTAAGTATTTCTTAGAGATATTAATTGAAACCAGACTCAGAAATTCTTTAAGAAAGGTTGCTGATTTCTTATGTGTATTTTTATTGAATTTTTGTGCATTTCATGCAAAACATCTTAGTCATCTTTTATCCCCCTCCCATACAGACCCTCCCACAGCCCACCCCACCAGATTTCATGCATTCTGTCATATGTGCTAAGGCCTATCAAGTCAGGGTATTGTACCCAGATGTCCCTCAGTGCAAGTTCATACACTTGGGTCTAATCACCCAACCTAGAATCTCTCTTTCAAAGAAGATCAACTATCTTGTACAAAAGAAGCTTCTTTGATTAAATTCTTTATGTAAAAACTGTATGAAGAGCTCTGTAGTCTCTCATTGTTTGCTCTGCTGATAAAACCTTTGCAGAGAGAAGCAATGATATGAGCAATGACTGCTGACATTTGTCCTGATTTGGCAAACCTTTTTTTTGTCATCAATCACTTGAACAACACTCTAAGGTGGTAAATTTCATTATATATTTATATAATGTGGTGGTAAATTTTATTATCTCTGTTTATACATGAGTCAACTGAGGTAAAGAGATGATAATAATATCACAAAAAAATCACTCAACTAGTAGGCAAATGTCAGAAAAAGAGAATATCAGATCTGTTTGTGTGTATGTGTGTCTTTCTCTCTCTATTAAGAACTTAGATATCTTAACATCTTCTATTAAAATATAGCTGTTGTAGAAAACTGAGAATATACAATTAAGCATAGAGATGAAAATAAAAATCACATTACCATTACTTTTCAAATCTTTAATGTGGTTAATGGAAATGGTTCACATGATGTTCATATGCATGTATGTTTGAAAATAAGCGGGTTTGAAGAGAGAGAGAGAGAGAGAGAGAGAGAGAGAGAGAGAGAGAGAGAGAACCAAGCATGAGAGTTTTTACACAAGAAAAAAAATCTACTCCAGATAAGTAGAATATTTTTTTGCACTTAGAAATGTTGTAGGTACCTACTTCTTGTGGACTTAGAACATATCTTGCTCATTAAAGTCATTACTGTTTTTGATATAACTATATTCAATAATATTTCAGTTATTTGTTGATTTTTCTGTTAATCTGTTTCATTTTTTCCCATGGCATTCCAGTTTTTTCTCAATGTAGTTTTCATTGAATTTTTGTGCTTTTCATACATCTTAATCATATTTAGACCACCCTTTCCAATTTACAACCCCCCCATAGCCCACTCATAGGACTTAGTGCATTCTGTCATATATGTTAAGGCTGATCGAAGCAAGTTTGTGTACCCAAATGTCCCTTGGTTTCAGTTCATTCACTAGAGTCTGTTCAGCCTCTCTAGAGACTCCTTTAAAGAAGATCAACTCTCCCTCAACCATCAATGATCAGCTGCCAAAAGTTCCTTGGCTAAGGTTGGGGTCTCCTGCCAATTTCCCCAGTTCTATGCTGGTTTTCATCTGACTGAGTTTGCATGGGTCTCGTGCATGCTGACACCATTGCTGCAAGTTCATATGAGCAAGTTCCCAGACGCCTGAAAGACTCTGTTTCCTTGTGGCCATGTACCACCCATGGCTCTTACACTTTTTTCTGCCCCCTCTTCAGCGTTGATCCCTGAGCCCTGGGTGGGTGAGGTTTAATACAGTAGTCCTATCCAGGGACACACACTCTGCAGGCTCTTATTCTCTACGCTTTGGCCAGTCATTCCTTTTGTTTGGGCACTATGCTCCATTCCAAGACTGCATCAGTGCATAACTATTTATTCCTCTAATGTTTTTCCTATAAATAGTCAGATCTCAGAGAGCATTTATGAAAGTTCATCCTTTCTCCAGTAAAATAAAATTCTAACCTCATGATTTTAACTATGTTGCCAGTACTTACATCTTTTTCTCAAATGTCTATTTGTTCTTTTTGTACTTGTCTGCCTTCATAAAAATAATGAGTTAATAGAACTGATAGTATTATTTTATTACTTACTCATCTTTTCATAAATGTTCTTATATATAGTGGGTATTAAGTCTTATGAAATTGTTAGAGACCTCTTTTTCATTGTCAGTACAAAAACATAATTTCAGATACAACATAATTGTCTTTTCTGTGTCAAGATCCATCAGTTAATTTTGACCTTTTCTGAGACTTGTGCACCCAAAGTCAAACAAAGTTCAAGGATAATTCTTTTCAGTTGATTTCATTGTTCCTGGGTGCTTTGGTTTCTCACTGTCTGTAGGGATTATGATGTATAAGATTTCTGGAGTCCTGGTATTGCTCTCCAGAGGGACAGTTGTCATTTGTTATTGTCAGCAATGGGGCATTATAACAGTAAGTCTAACAATCACTATCTATCCGACTGTTGGCTGAGCTTGTACATAAGTTGCCGGTTGCAAGAACTTAGCAACTTCTATTCAGGAGCTTCTGATGTCCTCCCTTTACAGCAGATAATAAAGTTTCCTGTGTTAAAGCCACTGGGATAATTTAACAGAGAATAAGGGAGATCTGAACTAAATGAAAAAATACTAAAATCCTTATGACTGCCCTATTGTTTAAGGAGAAAATATGCCCCCCCCCCAAATTGAGGCAGTCTTTGGGATCCATAGTAGACTCCATTTGCTGCCTCCAAGGGTCATTCATATGAAGATTCCATAGTAAGATTTCTTTCATAGTTTACCGGGAACATATGTTTATACCCCACCAAAGTATGTTAGAATAACAATTATGATATGATGATCCAGGTCAATTTGGAACTATCATTTTATACAAATTTGAAACACTATGGAGAAATTATTATAAATAACACAAATCATTTTTCTTAAAGTTCAAAGAAAGCTTTTAGGTCAAGTTCAGTAACAATCTAGGATAGAAAGCAAAATTTACTTTGGGAAATGAAACATCCCATTTTTCTTATAAAACATCAAAAATATGATGAATTATCAGAAATCTATTTAAGATTTTTTTAATTTTCCACCTGTCCCTTATATACTCTTCTCACATCACTTCTCTGAGTGTATGCGTGCACACATGTTAATGAGTGTACTATGAGTTTATGTTTTTGTTTATGTTTTTGTGTGTACCTAGATTTTTGTATGTGTGTGCAGGAATCACAGCATTTCTATGGTGTTGTTTTTAAATCTTCCATTTGAAGTTTTAAGTATCTCTTGTTATGATGTGGATTTTACATCCTCCCCAACACCTAGTGGAGGAAAAGATGGATAAGATGAAAATAATGCTGCTGTAGTTTCCTCTGATTCAGAAATGCATTCTTTTCTCTCCTTTTTGACACTAGAACACTGAGGCAATGATTGGAATAAGAAATATTACCAGGATCACAGAATTCATCCTTCTAGGATTCTCAGATTTCCCCAGAATCATAATTCTGCTTTTTGTTATATTTCTGCTCATCTACGTCACAGCTCTGACCTGGAACCTGTGCCTCATTGTTTTAATAAGGATGGATTCCCACCTCCACACCCCCATGTACTTCTTCCTCAGTAATCTGTCCTTCACAGACCTCTGCTATATCACCTCCACAGTCCCTAAATTGCTCTTCAACTTTTTCCAGGAAAGGCAAACTATCAACTTTGTGGGCTGCATAGCTCAGTACTTCTTCTTCTCCACTATGGGACTGAGTGAATCTTATCTCATGACAGCCATGGCCTATGACAGGTATGCTGCCATTTGTAACCCACTGCTGTATGCATCCATCATGTCACCCACCCTCTGTGTTTGGATGGTGATGGGAAGCTATTCAGCAGGTCTCATGGGTTCTTTATGTCAGACATGTGCCTTGCTGCAGCTCCACTTCTGTGGACCTAATGTCATCAGGCACTTCTTCTGTGACATGCCCCAGCTGGTGCATCTGTCCTGCACTGACACTTTCTTTGTCCAAGTCCTGCTTGCTATATTAGCAATGTTTTTCGGACTAGTAAATGCATTAGTTATTGTGATATCCTATGTATATATCGCCATGAGCATCATGAGGATAACATCAGCTAAAGGCAGATCCAAGGCATTCAACACCTGTGTTTCTCACCTGACAGCTGTTTCCCTCTTCTACACCTCTGGTTTGTTTGTTTATTTGAGTTCAAGTTCTGGTAGCTCCTCCAGCTTTGACAGATTTGCTTCCATGTTCTACACTGTGGTAATTCCTATGTTGAACCCCTTGATTTACAGTCTGAGGAACAAGGAAATCAAAGATGCCTTGAAGAGACTGCAGAAGACACACCATTGCTAAGGTTACAGATGAGGAGATTTTTGAGATATTAGTTCAAACGCCAAAATAATGTGCACATGACTGACACCCTAAAAAGTTCATACAGAGTTTAGACAAAGTCTCAATTTGATGTAAACAATGATGCCAATCAATATAGAACAATAACTGTCTCGATGCCACAGGGAATGTCTAAGTTCTGATGATTCATCATTACTTCAGAGGAGACTTCACCCTCAATTTTCCTATCTACAAGTATTTGTGAATTATCAAAGTTTTGAACTTTTGCTCCCTTTTACTTATGAGAGAAAGTGCTTTTCAATACAAAGGGAATCTATAGCTCAAAAAAATAAAAAAAAAACAAAACTGTACTTCGGCCTAGTGATGCCTCATGAAAAGGCCAAGCTGATACAACTAAGGTTTGTCTAAGGCATCTCTGATTGTCAGTCAGCTAACACATTTTGGGCCATATCTTTGTCTCTACCTGATGTGGCTAAATGAGGAAGAGATTATCTAAATCATAAAGGGTGATGGATAGAGGTATATCACCCTTTCAGTGCCAGTTACTAACAAGTCTGGTAGCTTGAACTTTTCACACCTAGTGCCGATGCCGAAGCCAGTAGTAATAACTGATGTACTTTGACCACCTCCCATTGTATCCAGATGAGTTTTTCTTGATAAATCCAAGTAGATCTCACTGTCACATTGTTTTAGATATTTCAAAGACCTGTTTGAGGTTTGTTTATGAAAACTTGTTTGAAGTCATTGCAATGAGTTACAGAAAAATCAAGGTTTCTATAAATACTCTAATAAGAGATACTAACAAATGCGGGAACCTGATATACATTATTATTGCCTATGTTCAATAGCTTATGTTCCAGATTTTGTCAAGTAGTTTGGGTGGCATTTTTAGAGTTCTCTACATGTAAAGCCATGTCATCTGCAAATAGGGACAATTGAACTTCTTCCTCTCTGATTTGGATGTTCTCATTTTTTTTTCTTATTCCTAACTACTCTATATAGTATTTCCAATGCTGTGTTTAATAGACATACTGGTTATGGATCACTTTGCCTCATTCTAGTCAGTGTAATAACAGGCATGACTTGTCATAAAAGGACTTTATTGTACATATGTAACTTCTCTATCTAACTTGTTTGAAAAATTATCCATAAGCAATACTTAATTTTGTCAAATATTATTCCTGTCAAATGTTCATATACTTTTATCCTTTGGCAATGTGATATACAGTTAATTGTAGATGTTGATAGTTGATGTGCATGTGTTCAACTGTCCTTGCATCTGCAGGATGAATCCCATTTCCTTGAGGTGGGTCATATTTTTACTGTGCTGTTGAATTTGGTTTACTTTTTTGCTAGCATATTTACATATATGTCTGCTATGGATATTGGTCTAAAATATTCTCATTTGTCATGTCTTTGGTGGTGTTAGAACAATACTGATTTCATGCAATGAGTTTTTTCTGATGCTTTCCTCTTTGATTTCTTGAATAACTCCAGAATTTTGCTATTAGTTTTTTAAATGACTTGTAGATTTCAGAAGTATCGCAATTGGGCTTTTCCTTATTTCAACATGCTTACCCATTGATTTCTCCAGATTTCTATTGCTTCAAAATTAGGTCTCTTGGCTGTATTAGTTCAGAAACTTCTCCACATCTTCGAAGGTCATTGCCTCATGGTTTGCTTTCTTCTCTTTGGGTCCTTAATGTGTCCAAGTTGTTGCTTTTCCAGGGTCTCTTTTGTCATATCTGACTTCATGTGTTTGAGAATTATCTCATGTTGTTCCCGTAATTTGTTAATTTTGTCTTTTCACAAATCCAAATCTTGACTTTATTGATTGCCTTCTATTACTTTTATAAAACTAACTTATTCTTTGTTGATATATAAAAACATTAAGTACTGATAAGTCATATATTAATGATTTGGGGATATATGTATACACTCTTTAAATTTTTTTCTTCTCTGATTTTTATTGAGTTTTCGTGCATTAGGTATAATACATCTTAATCAAATTCAGAGCCCCCTTTCCTGCCCCTCATAGCACCCCCACCAGATTTCAGGTATTCTGTCATATATGTTAAGTCCTCTTTGTATCCAGATGTCCCTCAGTGCAAATTCATCCAGTGGAGTCTAGTGAGCCTGTCTAGAGTCACTCCCTTAAAGAACATCTACTCTCCCTCACCCCACAGTAATCATTTTCCAATAGTTCTTTGGCTAGGGTTGAGGACTGCTGCCCATTTCCCCTGTTCTATGTTGGTTTTCTGCCTGATTGAGTTGGCGTGGGTCTTGTCATGTTGTCACCATTGTTGGAAGTTCATATGAGCATGTTCCCAGAGGCCCGAAAGCCTCTGTTTCCTTATGTTCTTGTAGCAAGCCCCCTGGCTCTTACAGTGTTTACGCTCCCTCTTCCACAATGGCCTCTGACTCATGGGTGGGTGAGGCTTAGTATTTAAAGAATGTATGCATATGTATATCCTCAAATACTTTTCATGTTATGCCAAAAAATTAAACTCCTTTCTCTAATCTCCATTTATTTGAGATATTATCTTTATTATTTCCTTAGCTGTAGGATGTAAGCTTGTTCTTATTTTTCTAGTTCTCTAAAACATGCTAAAATGTTTGTTTGAGGGCTAGAAGCATGGTTCAGTGAGTAAAGATGCTTGTGGCCAATCCTGATGGCCTGAATTCGAATCCCAGAACCCATGTGGTTGAAAAAGTGAACTGATTGCTACAAGTTGTCCTTCTGACACACATACTCTATGGCATATGCACATACATTAATTAATTAGTTAACAAATAAATAATAACTAGCTGTAAAGCAAAAATTAAAAATGTTTATTTGACAGGCAACTTGGCCAGATATTTCCCTTGCTTGGCACTGTGATTTTTGTTATATAGCCTTCAGCTTACCCAAGGTACTTACATTTATATTATATGCATATTTTAATAGGTTTATTAAATGCTGTATTTCCCTTTGACTTTTCACACCACCCAGAAATTATTTATCTCTCTTCCTCTCTCCCCTCCTGTATTGTTCTCCCTCCTCCTTCCTCAATTAAAGCGATCCCCATTTTTCCAATTTCCCCTCAATAATACCTGTCTTCTACTATCCCCTCTCTCAAGCTCTTTCATCTCCTCTTCCACCATGGTTCCTTTCCCTTTTCCTTGTTGCTATAGTTGCCTCAGGATATATACTCATGTCTAACTATCTGGAGCTAGGATCCACAAATAAGAAAACTTGTAACTTGTTTTTTCTGAGTCTAGGTTACTTCATTCATTTATTTAGTTCCATCTCTTTCCCTGAAAATGTCATGATTTCATTTTCCTTTACTGGTGACTCCATTGTGCAAATTTTCATTATCTATTCATAAATTGAGGGACTTTTAGATTGTATCTGTTTACCAGCCATTGTGAAAAGAAAAGCAGTAAATATGGCTAAATAAGTACTTCTGTAGTAGGATATCAAGTCTTTTGGGTATATGGCAAGGAGTGTACAGCTGTTTCATATGGTAGATATATTTTTAGTTTAAGAGTTCTCCATCCACACTTATTTCCATAGTAATCTAATCCCAGTAGGCAGTCCTAAACATAGGTACACAGGAGCACCACTATATGTACTCAGTGCATTATCTATGTATATTTATAAATGTATGTGTGTAGATGTACCAGTGATAAAGAAGACAAGACATTGCGAAGGAGTGGGGGACATGGGAAGAGCTGGAGGGGGACTTGGAAGGGTTGAAATTATGAACTAAATGTCCACATATGAAATTTTCAAGAAACTTTAAAAAATATATTTATTTGATATCTTTATTTTTTCATATAGACCTTTTGCCATAAACTTTCCTCTTAAACTGTTCTTATTATGTCCCACGTTATTTGATAGTATACATTTCAATTTTAACTTGTCTCAATGAATTTTTTATTTTCCTTATAAATTCTTCATTGATTTTTTATTGAGTAGTACTGTTTTCTAGTTTTCCTGTATTTACAAATTTTTCAATTTTTGTTATTGACTTCTAGTGCTACACCTTGTACCATTATGATCAGAAAAGATAATGGCAAAATACTAAGCTTCTTAATTATATGTGTGTGTGTGTGTGTCTGTGTGTGTGTCTGTGTGTGTGTCTTATAACATGTGATGTGTGCAGCCGAGGAAAATGTGTACTTAGCAGCTGTTGGAGAGAATTCTCTGTAAAAGTCTGAGAGGTCCATTTGTTCTAGAACATAACATCTGTTGATGAAAGTGGGGTGCTGAAGTTTCCTAATATTTGTATTGAACTGTGTTGCTTTTGTTGTCTTGTATGGGGGTATATCTATTTGTAATTACTACATTCCATCCTGAATTAACTTCTTTATCACTATATAGTATTCTTTATCCTTTTGTACAGTTTTGCCTTGAATTTTCTTTTTCTGATAGATATAGTTATTCTTGTTAACATTTGAGACTAAGGCATGAAATATTTTATTCTATCCATTATTTTTTTCCTATGGGATTTAGTAAGTGAATGGAATCTCTTAGAGAACATAGACTCAAGTTTTAAAAGTTCATTCAGCTATGAGAAATCATGCAGTTGAAGTAGGTAGCCCATTCTTATTCAATGTTGTTACTTACTGATGCCATTCTGTTGTTTTGTGTTGTTTGTTGATCATTTATACCTCTATTATAATTGTTTTGTTTACCACTGTGATTGGGTGATTTTCTGTAATGCTAACCCTTGATTGCTTTCTCTTCCTTATTTGTATATTTGCTATATTACACTTAGACTTTACTATAAGACTTACATAAAATATCTGTTATTTTTCTGGTTGCTGTGACAAAATATCTGAAAAGAGGAAGCATTTATTTTCAGTAACAATTTCAGGAGATTTCACTGCATCATGGTAGGGAAGGCATGGTGACAGGAGCAGCTCAGTCCATGTAGGTAGGAGTTTGAGACAGCCAATCCACATCACAGTGGCAGACAGGAAGTGAGGGCTGCAGTGGGGGTAGGGCCAGGTTAAAG